GTGAGTGTGGTGAGTGTGGAAGTGAGTGTGGAGGTGAGTGTGGTGAGTGTGGAAGTGAGTGTGGAGGTGAGTGAGTGAGTGTGGTGAGTGTGGAGGTGAGTGAGTGAGTGTGGTGAGTGTGGAGGTGAGTGTGGTGAGTGTGGAAGTGAGTGTGGAGGTGAGTGAGTGAGTGTGGTGAGTGTGGAGGTGAGTGTGGTGAGTGGTGGAGGTGAGTGTGCTGAGTGTGGACGCGAGTGTGGAGGTGAGTGTGGTGAGTGTGGTGAGTGTGGAGGTGAGTGAGTGAGTGAGGGTGGTGAGTGTGGAGGCGAGTGTGGTGAGTGTGGAGGTGAGTGAGTGAGTGTGGTGAGTGTGGAGGTGAGTGTGGTGAGTGTGGAAGTGAGTGTGGAGGTGAGTGAGTGAGTGTGGTGAGTGTGGAGGTGAGTGTGGTGAGTGTGGAGGTGAGTGAGTGAGTGTGGTGAGTGTGGAGGTGAGTGTGGAGGTGAGTGTGGAGGTGAGTGAGTGTGGTGAGTGTGGAGGTGAGTGTGGTGAGTGTGGAAGTGAGTGTGGAGGTGAGTGTGGTGAGTGTGGAAGTGAGTGTGGAGGTGAGTGAGTGAGTGTGGTGAGTGTGGAGGTGAGTGTGGTGAGTGTGGAGGTGAGTGAGTGAGTGTGGTGAGTGTGGTGAGTGTGGTCGTGAGTGTGGAGGTGAGTGTGCTGAGTGTGGTGAGTGAGTGTGGTGAGTGTGGAGGTGAGTGAGTGTGGTGAGTGTGGAGGTGAGTGTGGAGGTGAGTGTGGTGAGTGTGGTGAGTGTGGAGGTGAGTGAGTGAGTGAGGGTGGTGAGTGTGGAGGCGAGTGTGGTGAGTGTGGAGGTGAGTGAGTGAGTGTGGTGAGTGTGGAGGTGAGTGTGGTGAGTGTGGAAGTGAGTGTGGAGGTGAGTGAGTGAGTGTGGTGAGTGTGGAGGTGAGTGTGGTGAGTGTGGAGGTGAGTGTGCTGAGTGTGGACGCGAGTGTGGAGGTGAGTGTGGTGAGTGTGGTGAGTGTGGAGGTGAGTGAGTGAGTGAGGGTGGTGAGTGTGGAGGCGAGTGTGGTGAGTGTGGAGGTGAGTGAGTGAGTGTGGTGAGTGTGGAGGTGAGTGTGGTGAGTGTGGAAGTGAGTGTGGAGGTGAGTGAGTGAGTGTGGTGAGTGTGGAGGTGAGTGTGGTGAGTGTGGAGGTGAGTGAGTGTGGTGAGTGTGGAGGTGAGTGTGGAGGTGAGTGTGGAGGTGAGTGAGTGTGGTGAGTGTGGAGGTGAGTGTGGTGAGTGTGGAAGTGAGTGTGGAGGTGAGTGTGGTGAGTGTGGAAGTGAGTGTGGAGGTGAGTGAGTGAGTGTGGTGAGTGTGGAGGTGAGTGTGGTGAGTGTGGAGGTGAGTGAGTGAGTGTGGTGAGTGTGGTGAGTGTGGAGGTGAGTGTGGAGGTGAGTGAGTGAGTGTGGAGGTGAGTGTGGTGAGTGTGGAGGTGAGTGAGTGAGGTGAGTGTGGAGGTGTGGTTGCTGTATTTACAGGGCGAATGTAAACAGTGCTGTCCGCTGTCCCCCAGCATGCATTGCACTCTCCCTCCTGCACACGTGACACCACGGGGGTGGGGAAGGTGGCACGAGACGCGTGACGTCTGTGGACGTCACTGTCGGCGGCCGCGCTCCTTGTCGACGAGATTGCAGAGGGCCCACGGCTCGAAATTCCCAGCGGCCGCCCTGGTTAATACCGCGTCTCGAACCGGAGTTGTAGGACCGCCATGCGCCTCTCTGCTTCGCTCGCCAGTGGGACTGTTCGAGATCCCGTGGCGACATTCGCAAGAGGCAGTTTTTTTTTTTAAATGACACCGTGAAGTACTCTAGATGTATATAAAAAAAAAATAGGACGTATATATTTTTTTATTTTAGCAGGTAAGGCCCACTCAGCTATATAGCTACTTTTCAGAAGCGATGTGGCCACAAATGATAGCTCAACGAAGTGGCTAATTAACATCGCGTGGACATTATAGCAAGTAGCCAAATACTCGAAACGCGTGACGTTCATTCTGAATGTGCACGGGAAAACCGGAGCATACCGGAGAAATATCCACGGGGGGGGAGGGGGGGAGAGAGACACCGCAAACTCCAAATATACAGCAGCAGGCATGGTCAGGGTAGGGATCGAACCCACGACCTCCTGCGTACCGGGCGAGGGAGTTAACATCTCCTAGCCACCGTGATGATGGTGAGAGAGAGAGAGACACCGCAAATTCCAAATATACAGCAGCAGGCATGGTCAGGGTAGGGATCCAACCCACGACCTCCTGCATACCAGGCGATGGAGTTAACATCTCTTAGCCGTGTCATCCCAGTTGGGACTACACGCACACAGCGGGAATCGTCGCATCCCCTACCGGCTGACTGATGCCCCCCCCCCCCCCACCAGGTCACCCCACGCATACTCCTCGTGGCCTCGTGAATTCTCACCCGGCCAAACTAAAACTCCACTTGATAACCGCGGACTCGGTCCGAGCTTAAGGCGACGCTGAAACCCCCGTGGGCTCACGGGCCCGTTAGGGCTTCTCGCGATCGCGCTGTTTACAGGTGACGAAGCGCGCCCTCGTCTCTCCGTAATTAGGAATTGACAATTCGCAACGGGCACGCACTTTTAGGGGGTGTTGGCGGCGGGGCCCCCAGGGACTGGGCCCATAGGGCCGTGGGGTCGGAAACCATTACGGTCTGCGTGGGGAAATTGCAATAAAGTGATCAGAGTAAAAGTTTTTTGTAAAATTAAAAATATAATTGATTAGCTCTGTGTACGCTTCGTTGCTTATTTACGCTCTCGGTTGGCAATGTAAGTCCCCGCATATTCAGCAGCCCCAAAGATTCATTCCTCACCTGGCCCCTTTGTTATTTTGGACCTAGCCCGCCCCAAACAAACACCAAGGGTGACCCGTGATTCGGGGGCCCGCTGCGTCGTTACAAAACGCCTGGGGCGCGATTTATACTCCCAGTCCGACAACTGATTAAACGATCGTGGGCCGTGGGCTGGGCCGTGGGCCGTGGGCCGGGCCGTGGGCCGGGCCATGGGCCGTGGGCCGGGCCGTTGGCCGTGGGCCATGCCGTGGGCCGGGCCGTGGGCCGGGCCGTGGGCCGGGCCGTGGGCCGGGGTGGCCTGTCGGATCCGAACCGCGACCCTCCGTAACAAGTGGCGAACGCGCTGCCCGCTAGGCGGGTGGACGTCTCATCACGCGGCCCTTCGTTTCGTCACCTCACTTGCTGGATGTGAAGGCCCGCATTACGTTTGACCATACTTCACCACCCTGGTCCGTCCCGGGTTGGGTATTACTTGCCAGTCGCGGACAGGAATTGAACTCAGGCCCGCAGGGCTCATAACGCGGCGTGCAAATCACTGAGCCACCATTCCAACCACGTCGTTACGAATGTTCAGCCACAGTGACAGCGTCATTCCCTTCACAATGTTTATTCATCGAAACATCAACCTCCAATCGGTCACAGTCAGAACGATTCGCGGAATAACCCTCTCAAGGTGGTGCACTGCTTTGACCCATGATGATGATGCTGCCAAGTTATGATGCTGGTGGTGGTGATGATGATGATGGCGATGGTGACGAGAGTGTTGTTGTTGTTGGTGGTGGTGGTGGTGATGATGATGATGGCGATGGTGCCGAGAGTGTGTTGTTGTTGTTGGTGGTGGTGGTGATGATGATGATGGCGATGGTGACGAGAGTGTGTTGTTGTTGTTGGTGGTGGTGGTGATGATGATGGTGCCGAGAGTGTTGTTGTTGTTGGTGGTGGTGCTGCTTATACGAGGTGTAACAGTTTCGCGGATGAGACAGTGGGGCACTCAGATCCTCTGACTCCATCACGTGACGGCGAACGCGACAACGCGACACGATTCGGGGGGTGGGTGGTGGGGGGGGAGGTGTAGTGGGGGGGATGGTGGGGGGGATGGGTGGGAAGTGTAGTGGGGGGGATGGTGGGCGGGATGGGGGGTGGGGGGATGGTGGGGGGGGGGGTGATGGTGGTGGGGGTGATGGTGGTGGGGGTGATGTGGTGGGGTGATGGTGGTGGGGGGGGATGGTGGGGGTGATGGTGGTGGGGGTGATAGTGGTGGGGTGATGGTAGTGGGGGGGATGGTGGGGTGATGGTGGTGGGGTGATGGTGGTGGGGGTGATGGTGGTGGGGGGGATGGTGGGGTGATGGTGGTGGGGGTGATGGTGGGGGGGGGGGGGTGATGGTAGTGGGGGGGATGGTGGGGTGATGGTGGTGGGGTGATGGTGGTGGGAGTGATGGTGGTGGGGTGATGGTGGTGGGGGGGGGGGATGGTGGGGGGGTGATGGTGGTGGTGGTGGGGGGGAGAGATAGTAATGATGTACCGTGTTCTCTGGATCACAAGAGGCATTCTCAAGGTGTTGCCATGGTGACAGCAAAGTGACACAACTCTGGCCACACGTGCACCTCCCGTACGATCAACAACAACAAACAAACCAACTCAACACGTTGGTCTCGAAAATAAAAAAAAAACATATTTGGCGACGTTTCGGGCAATGGGCCTTCTTCATATCAACATTAAAAACAAACATATAGACCAGACGAGAGCGAGAGAGTGGATAGCCGCACTCCGGCAGAGAGCACGCGTTCTTCCGCAGCCTCAACGATAACAGGGAAAAGGTGCGTCTTATAATCCGGAACACACAGTACCATAATAATAATAGTGTAACAAAGATCCCCCGTGTAGCCTTTCACAGGCTGTTGGGGCAAGTGCTGTTAGCGAGCACCTACGAAGGGCGGCACGACACGCGAGGGTTGTGGGTGGCCAGCACCACGCCCGGCCGCCTTTGTCTCTCCCCAATGCCTGCCGATGTTTACACATCTCGCGCGCGAGTTGACCGGGCTGGAAGAACCGCCACCTGCGACCGGTTTCCGTGAGCGCGGCGCGCTAACCGCCGCGCCACCGCTCCCTCACCCCCCCCCCGCCCCCCTCCCCCGGTTGTGTGAATCGCAGTGGGGGGCCTCATTTCACGCACCCCGACGCGCACGAGCCTGTGTGGCACGAGAGAGCGTGCATCTGCTGATCCATCTGCAGGCGGGCACGCAACCTCAGAGCCAGCGAGTGTTCTGGATGCTGATGCTGATGATGATGGTGGTGGCTATGTTGCTGTTGCTGATGGTGATGTTGCTGATGGTGGTGGTGGTGCTGCTGCTGCTGCTGTTGTTGTTGCATCCTTGGGTGGTTGTCTGGTCTCGTGGCAGTCTCGGCCAGTGACCAGATCTTGGGTTTGGGAGTTGAGTTCTGCGTCGCGGCTGCCGTGACGGCGGCTGACGAGTTGGGGGCGGCTGCCGAGGGCACGCTCAAGGGCACGCTCAAGGGCACGCTCAAGGGCACGCTCAAGGGCAGAGTCAAGGGCAGGGGTAAGGGCAGGGGTAAGGGCAGCGCTGTGGCTTCGTGGCTGTCGCGCCGTTCCCGTGTGCCCACGTGCTCGCCCCTCCGGTTGCTGAGATCCGCTACGCCGCCACCGCCGCCACGTCCATCATCATCAGCATCATCATCACCATCATCATCATCAGCAGCAGCTGCCTCCACGGCCCTTTTCTTGTTCTCAAGGTGATCCTCCTCCTCCTCATCCTCCTGCTCTCTCACCATCTCGCCATCGCGAGCATCGTCCACCTCGTCGAGGCCATCGACGTCACGGGCGCAGTCGCCGTCAGCAGCGGCGTCGTCCTCGTCGACGACGTCGACCTCAGCGCTGCCGCTGGGAGAAGTCGCGAGCGGCCGGCGGCGCCTCGCCACCTCCACGCTCTGCAGGTCCACCTCCTCCTCAGAGTCCGTTCTCGCGTCGCCCCGGTTGTGAAACGAATCGCCGCCACCGCCGCCACCACCACCGCCACCACCGCCACCGCCAAGACCTCCACCCGGCGGGCCCCAGCACCCAACCTCGCCCGCAACCGACCCACCCGCACCACCGCCACCACCGCCACCGCCACCACCGCCTCTGCTCTCCTTCTTGAGCCTCCGGCGCGCGTTCGCGAACCACGTGGACACCTGCGTGAGCGTCATCTTGGTGACGAGCGCCAGCATGATCTTCTCGCCCTTGGTGGGGTACGGGTTCTTGCGGTGCTCGCTGAGCCACGCCTTGAGCGTGCTGGTGCTCTCGCGCGTGGCCGCCTTGCTGCCGAGTCGCCCGCCAGAGTCGCTCCCCACCACGGCGGCGCCGTGGGGGCCGCCGGTGGGGCCCTGAGGCCCGTAGGGAGAGTAGTAGTGCGGTGGTAAGTGGTGCAGGGCCGGGTGCGGCGCGAACACCGGGTGCGACATCGCCGGGCACTCCTTGAGCTGCTCGTACTGGGCGCCCTGCAACACGCGACGGGGAGGAGGAGGAAGAGGAGGTGGAGGGGGAGGAGGAGGATGAGGAGGAGGAGGGGGAGGATGAGGAGGAGGGGGAGGAGGAGGCGTCATTGGTGGTGCGTGGGGGGTGGGGGGGAGATCCACGGCGATCGGTACGCGGGGAGGAATTTAAGAGCGGAATTCTACATATGTAGTAGTAGCTACTACTACTACACGTGTAGTAGCTAGCTACTACACGTGTAGTAGTAGCTACTACATATGTAGGGCCCCAGCACCCAACCTCCTACTACTGCACGTGTAGTAGTAGTCGCTACTACACGTGTAGTAGTAGCTACTACTACATATGTAGTAGTAGCTCATACATAATAATATCTACACGTGTAGTAGTAGCTATTATTAGTAGTAGCTACACGTGTAGTAAACATCGTCCCCAGTGACGATGTTTACACACCGCATCGGGTACTCATTCGAGGCTGAGTCGAGCTAGGGGAGTCCCCAGGACCGGTGCAAGATAATCGTCACTGGGTGCTGGCCGTGAGCGGGAATCGAACCCGGGTCGCCGGGTTCATAGCGCAGCGTAGCGCTAACCGCTGCACCACCGCTCCCCACGTACACACACGCACACTCTCTCACACACTCACACTCACTCGGAGTTTAACAAATAGACAAGCGGGCAACAACGCACTGCGTTACGCACGTGCGAGGATGGAGTATTCATCTCACGGCATATTCTAACGGGGGGGGGAGGAGCGGTGGCGCAGTGGTTAGCGCGCCCCACCCGCGCCATCGATCCAGGCGGACTGTGAGTTGGGACTGTTCGGGCCGCGGCTCACGCCGGCGGCGAGTGGGGACGACGTGCCGCGTTCGTCGCCCTTCGCCAGCAAAGGTGAAGTATGGTCAAAAGCAACACGTGGTGGGGAAGCCTTTACGAAGCAGCGTATTGACAAAGGGCTCTAAGTAATCGCGTGTCGTTCACATCTCGTTGTGTGTGCCAAACATTCATGTGTATGGCAGCACATCCGTCTGTCCACCCATTAAATATAAGGTTTTTTTTTGTATACATCCCGTCAGCCCCGCGCGGCCTTCTGAAGGTTTTATATATACGTTATTTTTTTCTTACAGATTTAATACAACAAAACAGTACTCGTTGTGTACAGCCCTGAGTCAGCGGTGGAAATTCCACATTCCCATGGCCGAGGAGAGTCGATCTATCTATCTATGGAGAACAAGAAAAATAAGTGCTTAACTCGTTAAGTACAGCCCTGAGTCAGCGGTGGAAATTCCACATTCCCATGGCCGGGGAGAGTCGATCTATCTATCTATAGGACAACAAGAAAAATAAGTGCTTAACTCGTTAAGTACAGCCCTGAGTCAGCGGTGGAAATTCCACATTTCTATGGCCGGGGAGAGTCGATCTATCTATAGGGCAATCGCTATTGAATTCTCCCACCCCACCCACCCACCTCGACAAAGTTATACATTTTATCGACCATGAACGGATGATGATGATGGGCTGAGTCAACAGAATCGTTCTGTACAGACACGGTCATCATGAGCCTTTGCGTCATCAGCAGTCTGTCTGTCCGTACATGAGAAACGTTCTGACCATGAAAGCACCCTGCTCCCATATATTTACATGATCCCGCCTCGCGACTGCACTTTATAATCACGCACCCACACATCTGCACGTATCTCCACGTCGTATGTGTCTGTTTACGTGCATCATCGTCAGCGGCCACGCTCAATCCACCGCTGGACGAACGATTATCCCAAGCCGCCGCGTGCATGTGCACCGTGCGTGCTCACGTTCGCCTTCACTTATCCAAGTGCCGCTTATACGTCGCATGGCAGTGAGCCGTAACTCTTTGTAGTAGCTACACGTGTAGTAGTAGTAGCTATTGCGTGCAATCGTCCTATATGCCTATCGAGGAATCTGTGCACTTAGGGGATAGAGAAATCCCCCACATCGTAACGCGTCCTCCATACTGTTGCCGTAACCAAGGAAACGTATGCAATGCGTAACGCTTTGGGCAATGACCCTAGCTCATGGCGCATCGATGTCTATGTAACGGGTCACGTGTCACGCAGTCTATACGCATCTGCCTAACCGTCTGCTGCTTCATCCTGTGTAGGAACCTCCTGGCTACACCACCACCACCAGCCCACAGGGGATTATTGTGTCCGTCCGTCCGTCGTGCAGGCAAATATAGGAGGGGTGGGGCTGGGTGGGGGGGGGCTGGGTGGGGAGGGGCTGGTCACCCCGTGGTGCCCTTATAAAACTCAACTTTTCACCTACTCACGCCGGCTTGTGCCCGCCCTCACAGTCGGGCATATTGTGCGGAATACACCACGTGGTGGTGCCGCCGTGTGACCCTGCCCATTGACCGAGCAACCCGACGTTCCTACCAGCTCCCTCCGCAGGAGAATGTGTTACATCTTGCAAAACGAATGAGGCCGTGGCCATCGAACAAAGGCGGCGGTGGCGGCGGCGGTCACCGCATCATCGCGCGCATTCACGGACGCGCTTCTGCGGCCGTCTGGAACGCTCCTCCCTCCGACATTAGGAAGCCGCTGGGAGCCGCGCACTTTTAAATCATCACCTCGGTTGAACATACTTTTGATTTACAACTGCTTTGTTGTTATTCTTAGCTCTTTCGGTAAAGTCACGTTGAAGGGAAACAATAAAATAATTTAAAAAATATATATAAAACAATAAAAATTCTCACGACGTTTCGACCGTAACACAAAGGGGGTCGTCATCGGGTGTGATTCGTTTGCTGTCTTTCACTGCCGCCGCACCTCCGTTGAGCGCGGTTTGTCTACGTACGGTGCGAGAGAAGTTCCACGTACACGTGCACACACACACACAATCGATTGTCGAGTCAGCTCGCCGTGTAAGCAACATGTTGCGTCGTTCGCCTTCCTCCACCCCACCCCACGCAAAAAAACAAACAACAACTAATACAATAGTCACGTGGCGAACAATATATGGCACGTGATTATTGTTGTTGCCGTAATAAATGGGCTCCAGCGTGTGTTCGTCACGTTGGCGACTCAATCAATTCGCTTGCGTCGGGGTGGAGAAGGGCGATCCGACCCAAACTTCCGATGAAGAATCCGTGATGAATTGGTCGCGAAGGATCGACGCTGCACGTGCCGCCGTGCGGTGAGTCTCCTTCGTCACGTGGTCGTCTCGGTTGTTGTCACCCTCCCCAGCTCCCACGTACGGCGCGAAAGAAATTCAACGCCCGCCTCCGGCCACGCCCGCGGGAAGCGAACTCGTCACGCGAACCCCAAGCCGCCGGCCTCGCGAGCGGGAATCGAACTCGGGCGGGTCGGGGTTCGGGGTTCGCGGTGGCAGTGCAGGCGATCGCCACACCCCACCAACACGTGAGTCGAGGCCACCCGTTGGCTTTGGCCGCAACGCACATTGCTGCTTGAAACGACGATTATTGTTGTTGTTGTTATTGTTGTTGTTGTTACGATGACGACGGCGATGGCGATGACGAAGGCGACAACTTTAAGTCGCGGTCGGGTTTTCCGATCGACACAGCGCACCAGGCCCGCGCACGTGGCGCTTTGAAGCAGGGCTGTTGCCCGAAACGTCGCCTGTTGCGATAGTACGATCGACGAGCGCACGAAGCGCACGCGCTTTTTAATAAAAGGGTCGTTGCCCGAAACGTCGCCTGTTTTTTTATTTTTTTTAATATGTCGATGTTTTAAGGTATTATTGTTGACGAATATGTCACGTGTGCTTTTCGTTGTTGTTGTTTCACGTATATACATGTAGTAGCTACACGTGTAGTAGTAGTTACTACTACATATGTAGTAGTTGCATATGTAGTAGTTACACACTACTACATATGTAGTAGTTACATATGTAGTAGTAGCTACTACTACACGTGTAGCTACACGTGTAGTAGTAGCTACTACTACATATGTAGTAGCTACATATGTAGTAGTGTGTAGTAGTTACACACTACTACATATGTAGTAGTTACACACTACTACATATGTAGTAGTTACATATGTAGTAGTTACACACTACTACTGTAGTAGTAGCTACTACATGTGTAGTAGCTACTACTACATGTGTAGTAGTAGCTACTACTACTACATGTGTAGTAGTAGCTACTACTACTACATGTGTAGTAGTAGCTACGGGTCCCGCACTTTCAAGGGCCCCGCGCTAAACGCTTTCAAGCGATCAATTCCGGTTCAGTGATTCTGCACTTGCTCTATCACTACAGTACTATAACGACTTCAACCTTAACGTACGACTGGGTGTTTAAGGTGAGCGATTTGTCTTATTATCTGACTTCATAGCAAATGAAAAAAATACAATGACCTTACTATGCAAGTTACAAAACCGTGTGTTTTAATGTTTAAGTGTGTTCACGTTTTGTTGTATTCAGGGCCCCTTTATAACATCATGCGCTACAGGCCCAGCACTGGCTTCATCAGGCACTGCCACCACCACCCACCACACACACACACCAACATCGCTGTCACAACACGGCAACAGCAACAGCAAGTAGTAGCGGGTTTCAATAGCGCGCTTTGCATCGGATTCAGCGTCTCACTCACTCCACGCGCGGCGCGTTACTCGGTCCACCGGCGACGCTGGGAGACACCCCGGGGCCTCCCAGCGGCGGAGGCCCTGATCGCAAAACGTCGTGGGCATCCTGATGACGTGGGTCTCGTTACGAACACAGGCGGAGCCGGTTTTATCCTCGTGCCGTTTCCTAAGCCCCTTTGCTCGTACGATCCGCTAATATCGCGCCTACACCTGCACGCTGGTACACCGCGAGCCGCTCGCTGATGAAAGGCGCCGAGTGTCCAAAGCCCGGTGGGGAGAGTCTGTTGAAACCCTTGCAGCTGCCGACGAGACGCTGGCGGGATGTGTCGACGTTGTTTCCGCTGCGACGTCTAGTTTAGATTTGAAGCTTTCGTGACTGCTAGGATCCATACTCTTTGGTTCTATTGGGTAAAGTCACGTAGGTGAA